GCAGCTGTGGCTGCAGCTGTGGCTGCAGCTGTGGCTGCAGCTGTGGCTGCAGCTGTGGCTGCAGCTGTGGTTGAAGCAACTGCTGCTGCCAATTATGTAGCCTGTGAGCGTAGCGTTGTTGTTGGCAGGGCTGCTCGCGCCGCTTCTCCAAATCTTGTTCCTCCCTTTGAGGGCTTGCAACGCGAAACCCTGTTGAATTCTCTGTTGCCCTTGTTGCTGACATTAGTGTCGTTGGTGCCGCTGCTGCCCCTGACATCATTGGCCTTGCACGTCCTTGAGTTTGTATTTGAGGATGCAACGAATTCTCTCGCAGTTCACCGAAGGGAGCAGTAGTTGCTGCTGATGCCGCCGTTTCCGTCGCTGCTGCTGCTGCTGCTGTTGGGTTCCAAGCAACGTCACTCGAAGTGGCAACGGGTATTCCAGTTGTCGTTGGTTCCTTCTGTGCTGATATTGCTGCACCAATGCACATGCCAGATGTCAGCAAGGTTGGCGCCTGGAATGCCGGTTCCCTCATTGCAGCAGCAGCAAAAACTCCTCCATTCGCTGCTCCTTCTTGGTGAAGCTTCTCTTCCCTCAACTGGCCGCTTTCAAATGGTCTGAAGCAACTATCTGCCACTACTGCGGCAGCTGATGCCCCTGACGCAGGCGCTGCTGCTACTGTAGGTGGTGCCTCTGCTGCGCCCATGCGGTAGCTTCCTGCTGCGTCCGCCGTTGTGGAGACGTTGGTATCCTCAGGCCCCGCAGCTGGAGCAGATGTACAAGGCAGAAGCTGCTGAGCAGAACATGAGAACAAGTCGCCGCCGCTGGCAGCAGCAGCAATGCCCAGTGTCGGACAGAAGAGGGCGTACACCGGAGACCACCGCGGAGACAACATCGCCTGCGCCTCCCACTTTTTGCTGCTGTTGCTGTTGCACTTCCGAGTTTCGGTGCAGTCTGGTTTTGCAGCCGAGATGCTCTGCACTGCCGTCTGCAGCAAGTCGACACCTTGCCATAGCTGCCTGTATGAAAATTCTCTCTCTGGGTTCGCTTCACTGCGTTCCGGGATGGTCTGCTGTTCACCTTCTTGCGTTGAAGCTGGCTGTGGCCTAATATCTGCCTTGTGTTGCAGATTTTGCCGTTGCAGCGGTTGTGCATGTTGTTGTTGCTCGCGTTCGTCTTCTTCTCGTTGCTGCTGCTGCTGCCGCGCTTTCTCTTGCTGTTGCTGGAGTTCGTCCAGTCGCCAAAGTACAAAGTCTTCAACCTCTCTTAGCGCAGCAGCAAACATCACTTCTTGATGTCTGTGTTGCCGCTGCTGCCTCCAAGATATCTGGTAGTCTTGCTGCTGAGGCGGGTCTTCGCGGCAGTGGTACGGCTCTCCAAGAATGCAGCCAACTGCCCGTCGCGCGTGTGGTGTCAAGCTTGACAGTTGCTCTAGCTGCTGCAGCTGTTCTGCTAATTCGATGTACTGGCGTTCCTTCTGGTGTTGCTGCTGAGCTGAGGACCATCCCTGTAGCCTATCGTCAAGGAGGGCTGCCAAAGTTGCGTGCGTCTGACGCAGAAGTCGAAGCTCCGCCTCTGCTGGCTGTGTCTGGGGGCTCTCATTAACGTGCTTCTGCCTTTCTTCATGCTTCTGCCTCTGCTCTGCATCAGGAGCCAGTAGAGAACACAGCTCCAAGAGTCTACAGCTTCTTCGATGCATTTCAGCTGCTAAGTGCTGCTGCTGCTGCGGCGGCTCGAAGGGACCCAGGGCACCTGCACCTTCCTCATAAGCCATAGCCTCGTATATGCACCTTTCTAGTTCTTGTAGCTCCTTGTGGTGGAGCAGCAACTCACGGCGTTTCCGTTCATTTGCGAGCTGCAGCTCTGACTCTGTCTGCTGAAAGTCCCCAATATCCATCATTAAATTCTGGTCGGGCTTTACGCTGTCATTCGATCCGCCGTCTGCAAGCTCAAGGCCGTAGCAACCTTCTTCCAAAGGAATGCCAGCAAGCGGATCGTTCCCATCGGATTGCTGTTGCTGCGTCGTCTCCGTGCCAGTCACGTCGAGGTCTAGGTCCTGCTGTTGCTTCTGTGTTTGCTCCTGCTGCTGCTGCTGCTTAAGCTGCAGTGCTACCAATCCTTCGGGAGTTGGCGCTCGTTGTCGAGACAGTGGGGGGTTTTGCCGCCTCACATCGCCGTCGCATCTACGCATACTGCGAGCAAAGGAGCCCCGAGCCAGCGAAGGCTGGCCGCGATGTTCGCCGCTCGGCTTGAAGGCAGTTTTAGCGCTGCATCGGCTGCTGTTCATCGTGCTACCTGTGCCGGTTCTGACGCTGCTGCTGCATGGCGCTGGAGCGTCAGGTAAGTCTTTTACCTGCCGAAGCCATCCATGCATAGCAAATGCCTCGCATCCAGCATCATCATGGGCTACAACGACAGGTATTCGCCATGGAGAGCGCAGAACTGTTTGAAGACCTGTCCGGCGCATTTCCCTGAGGGCTGGGGCTGACACTTCCCGCCGCCTCAATTCCTCATCCCCTACACGGCAAATTAGTAATAGCTGTTCTCGCTGCTGTTTGAGGTCCTCGATCTGTTGCTGCAGATGCACGCAACGGCGCAGCACTATGTGAAGAATTTGCTGCAGATGTTGCTCCCTCCTCAACTGTACATGCAGCCGCCTCTCGCGTTGATGCAACCTAGCCACAACATCCTGCAGTATCTCAGCAGGGGTTGCCGAGGTGTGGAGGGCGATTTTCTCTCCCTGTATTAAGTCCATTGCTCGCAGGGACTGTTGCTGTTGCTGCTTGACCTTTTTTTCGTACGCTTCCAGTAGCCGACGTTGCTGCTGCAGGGTAGTGAGCACTTCTAATTCCACTGCCAACCTCGATTCTAGCATCAGCTTCTGCTTCTCCATTATGCTCAAGCTATCCTGTCCTTGGTGCTCCTCCTGGGAGCGCTGCTCGGGAAACTTCTGCGGATCATCGTGTCTCGCTTGCTGCTGCAGCTGTAGCCAGTTGTACAGCAGCAAGTACTTCCCTGCTGCTTGCTTTTCAAGCCGGCGCAGGTCATCCTCTTCAGTGGAGTTTGCCCTGCTCAGGGCAGAAAATATCCGGTCTAGGGCTAGCTTAAGGAGGTTAACTGAACAGCCGTCCAGGATCTGGCCTGGCAAGAGATCTGTGGGAAATGACTCGCGCGGCATCTTGTTCTGGATCTTGTTTTGTTAGGAACAGCTGCTTTTGCAGGCTGTAAACGGGCAGAAGCACAGACAAAACAAGGCCAGACGCCGAGGCACAGCACGCTTCGTTCTTGCACACGGCTACGCGGCCAGACTCAGAGGTAACGTGGATAGCTCCCGAAGCAACTTGAATCTAGCTCCTCTACTTTTTAATAGACGAATTGCAACAGAATCTTAATTTCGCACCTTGCACGAGAATCCCAGCAGATCGGTTGGTTCGTCTGTGCGATGTGCACTGCCGCGAATAGCACGCTCACCAGGCTGAAACAGTCAGTAAAAGGACATGGACGACAACAAATAAACTTGAAAGGAGCTGAAAGATTGCCAGTGTCCGCTAGGTAGGGAAAATTGCCTAGCTGGGGGCAGCGCAACTTCTGAAAACCCCCAAGTATGAGTCAGTTGACTCCCTCGACGGGCTCAGCTAGAAAGACAATCGAACTCTAGACAAAATAAACAGAAATCAGTGCCAGTATATCCAGTCTGTAGCAAATGAGACGCAGAATCGACAAGTTTTAGCTGGTGGAGACCAACTTCAGCTTGATGAGCCGCAATGGTCCACCGTGGTCCCCCACCGGTGGGGTCGTTCTATTGAGGGTGTGCGAGATGAACGTAGCATATACTGAAAATGTGGAGGCAACATATTTAAAACTCATTTGGTGAATTATATACATCCTGGCAGTATAATTTTCACCCCCATAGGGTCCCTTTAGCCCCCACACATGACTGGTCGGGCGACGGACCATTCGGGCAGCTGGGCAACCGGGAGCCATCCTCTCGATTTTGCAGTGAAACTTTCTTTTCCAAACCAAAAAGGTCCTTGAATACGCTTGTGTACTCTTTTCTGTTTGGATTTTCGGCAGACTGCGCTTGAAGTAGACTTTCGGCCAACCGACGATTGTACAGAAGGTGTAGCGAACGGGTCCCTGCTACGTATCTCAATCCTACAGGGTTCAAACTCTACATCAATACTCTAAACAGCGCATATCTATACTATTAAGGCTTAAACATTCAATTAGCCTTCCTTAAAACTTATTCGAGTCNCTAAACAGCGCATATCTATACTATTAAGGCTTAAACATTCAATTAGCCTTCCTTAAAACTTATTCGAGTCTATATTGGAAGGAAATCCGACAGTGATAAATCTCCCCGGTGACTCTGCAGTCAGTAGGGCAACCGCAGCATTCGTTTCATAGCCAGCCCTTACCGGATGCGGCTGGCGAGCATTGTCGACCTGTTTATCTTAAATTTCTACCTAAAGTATTTCCATTTACCTCTATTAGTGCTGTACTTGTTCTCTCTCATCTAACAAGGTCTCTAAATTTTCCACTTGAGCACCTTTGATAGTGCCCACGGTCAGGGCCTTCATGTAGCAAATGTGCAGCAAGAATTGATTCAGAGGACTGTATGCATCAGTGAGATATGCTGACCATGTACAATGGCAGCGTTCGCTACCGTTGCCCCCAAACCAGGACGCGGTAGCTGCATTGACAACGACGCACTGCTCACGACAGAGGAGATGGCTTTGACGGCTGTTTGAGTAAAGACCACGATGAGGTCTGCAGAATGACTATGCAACGATAGAATCTCACAGAAGGGTACTGCCTCATTTTAACCGCGTATGCACTTGTCCGTCGAAAAAAAAGATAAAAATTCACTGGCATTCCTTTGGATGAAGGCCGAAACGACCTTGAGCCTATAGACGGCGGATCGATCGATATTGGGGGCTGTCAGCAGACAGAGCTGCTGCTCCACCAGAAGGAGCTACAAGCAATAAAAAGATGCATATATGAGGCTATGGCTTATGAGGAAGGCGCAGCTGCCCTGGGACTCCTCGAGCCGCAGCAGCAGCACTTAGCAGCTGAAATACACCGAAGAATCTGTAGACTCTTGGAGCCGTGTTCTCTACTGGCTCCTGATGCAGAGCAGAGGCAAAAGCATGAAGAAAGGCAGAAGCAGGTTTATGATAGCCCCCAGACACAGCCAGCAGAGGCGGAGGCGGAGGTTCGACTTCTGCTTCAGACGCACGCAACTTTGGCAGCCCTCCTTGACGATAGGCTACAGGGATGGTCCTCAGCTCAGCCACAACTGCAGCCACAGCTGCAGCAGCAGCTACAGGCACAGCTGCAGCCACAGCTGCAGCCACAGCAGCTGATACTGCCGCTGCCCATGCAGCAACAGCATCGGATACAGCAACAGCAACAGCAAATGCTCTTTCAGAGGAACAGGCTTCTACAGCTCTGCCAGAAACAGCTGCAGCAGCACCAAGTTGCTAATCAAGCACAAACGCTTCCAATCTTTTGCCAGGAGAAACAACAGCTGATGCTGCAGCAACATCACCTGAGCCAGCAACACAAGCTACAGCAGCATCTGCTTCAGCAACAGCAGCTTCAACAGCAACAACAGCAGCTGCACCTGCAGTTGAAAGAAACGTCACAGTGGCGATCCGCTGAAGAGATACCCAACCCCCAGCAGACACAGATCCCCCACAATATGCAGCAGCAGCAGCGGCAAGCGTGGGAGCAGATGCAGCAAAAGCGCACGTGGCAGGTGGAGAGTTACAACACTGCGTGTTCTGCAGCCAAGGAAAGTCGAACAGAGGTTCGATTGGCCTCTTTTGATGGTGCTGCTTGTGGCGGTGAACCTGCGGCGGTCGCCCACTTTAGTCCCATGGCTTTTGGTGCATCAGGAGGTTGCAGCCTGCAGCAGCTGCCGTTGAAGAANTCGCCCACTTTAGTCCCATGGCTTTTGGTGCATCAGGAGGTTGCAGCCTGCAGCAGCTGCCGTTGAAGAAATACCATGAAACACTTAAAGAAGCTGTACACACAAGACATAAACAGCGCCTCCTCGGCTGGTCGGTCTTCCTGCCAGCCCTTGGTGGGGTTGTCACCACCACCGGTGGAAGGCAGCTGGTGGCATCCACGAGGCGTTTAAGCCGCTGCAATTTTGTCCTTGTTTCCTTTTTCTTGAAGCTTTTTCAAAACATAGACGCGAAGCCGAACCATTGGCCGCCATGCTTTTGTTTGCATTTGTTTCCGCTTGAGCCGTTTATCAAAGGGGCTTCTATCGCATAGGAACCCCTGTGAGCTTGCGCTTCCGGGTGCCGTTGTTTTGAGCCAATTCAGCTTGAAATTCCTCTTTATTTACGTTTTCTTTGGGCGTTTATCTTCATTTTCCTGTCTTAGGGCAGCTTTTTGGATGGCCTTCCTGCCCGCAGGTCTGGGGCTGCCCCCGTTGGACCGTGCGGTCTGCGCCGTTGTTTGGTGGTCTGGCGATTCCTTGTAGGCGTTTCCGAACTGCTTTGCGCACGTTGACTCTGAAACGATGAGCCTCAATGGGGCATCGCCTGCCCTCTGCACCGGCGTCGGAGGGGGGGGACGCGATGCCGACCCCAGCAGCGTAGGCATGATGGAGGGGGCTTTCTTTGTGAGCCGCACGGAGTTGCTGGACTGGTTGAACAACACTTTGGCCCTCAGGCTCACGCGAGTGGAGCAGTGCGCCTCAGGCTGCGTCTATCTGCAGGCGCTGGACAATTTGTTCGGGCCCCAGAGCCGCGTACCCATGAACAAGGTCAAGTGGGGAGCTAAACATGAATATGAGTTCGTTCACAATTACAAGCTGCTGCAGGCTGCCTTTGACGCACACGATGTGCACAAACACATTGAAGTCAACCGCCTCGTCAAGGCGAAATATCAAGACAACTTGGAATTCCTCCAATGGTTTAAGGCCTTCTGTGATCGTCAAGCGGCCCTCTACGCAACAGACGTTCCTTATGATCCAGTTGAAAGAAGGAAGGTAAGCTCAAAAAATGCCTCTTTCAGTGCAGGAACTGGCAGGAGTAGGAGCAGCAGGCTAGGAGGAACAGAAACAGCAGCAACCTAAGAGGCAGTGGCACTATGTATGTCAGGTTTTTGGAGCTTAGCGCGGACCTTTCTAGGTCTATGTATTCTGCTGCTGCCGTGTGTTGCCTGTTTTTCAGCTAGGAATTGGGCCGTTTCCGGTTTGGGCCCCTGTTGGCGGTGATGGGGGCGCCAAGAAGCCGTCTGCTGCATATGCCGCTTCCACTGCAACAACGAGGCCAGCAGCAGGAGCCCAGCCGTCCACTCGTTGTCGCGTGCAGCAGCAGCAACCGCAAAAGCAGCAGCCTGCAGGTGCTGGCGCAGGCACAGACGCTGCTAGCGGCGCATTAGGCAAGCGGCTGCAGCAGCAGCAGCCACAGCAAAGGAGCCGCGAGGACGCAGCAGCAGCAGCGGCTGCAGCAGCAGCTGTGGAGACACTACAAGGGGAGCTACAGCAGGCAGTGTTGGAACGGGATTTTTACTATGGGAAGCTGCGTCGTATTGAAATATTGTGCGGCGTGCAGGGACAGACTTCGTTGAGTGTAGAGGCAGTCCAGGCGATCTTGTATGCCAAAGACCACCCTGACGAACAGCCAGAAGCTGCAGAGGGAAACCTCTGAACCTCCATTTTGCAGTGTTCAAAAGAGGTTTAACTGAAACTACTCGTCAAGAAGAGTAGAGAGCCAATGCAATTTGCCTCCACTGACGCTCAGCCATTCACACGCACGGGTAGACAGCTCCAGTACTGCCTGTAATGCCCTGGGATTCAGCAGGGCAGACTCACAGACATTGAAATTTCTGGAAACCGATGATGAATCTAATATTTTTAGATATAACAATAAGAATTTAGCCTCCTTGATAAGAGTAGANTGGAAACCGATGATGAATCTAATATTTTTAGATATAACAATAAGAATTTAGCCTCCTTGATAAGAGTAGAAGCAGCTACAGCTATAGAATTTAGGCGAATGAAGTAATGCGCACCCTTGGGTGCAGTCTAGCCTAGAAGGGAGCCGTAGACTGACAAGCCCAATGGAACACGAAGGGATCACAACGGTAACGGCCCATTAGCTTAAAGGAGAAAATTGTGTGGGGGTTGTCTTCTAGCGGCATGCTCGTAATTCAAAGGGAGAATAGACCCCCTAGAGTGCCTTGGGGTTACCGCTATGCTTACAGGCCGCTCTCGTCACTCCAGCGCCAGGTGTAAGAAACTCCCCTTCAGAAACGCCAGTCTAAGGGGAGTTCGGGGCCTCAGGGATCATGTGGGCCTCGGAACCTGATCCCACTCACGTTAGTAGATGCACTAGTCCCGTCCAGCAGCTCTGTGTCTTGTGCCCCAAACGACAACACAAACGCAGATGAAAAACACAATTGTGAGGCGTAGAAGGGATCCAAGTTCCCTCACACGA